GATTGCAGAATGATTGGGACTCTCATATGCTGCCAGTGGGAGTGTAAATTGGTATAGCCACTTTGGAAAAATGCTTAATAATATCTTCCAAACCTAAACGTGTGCCTACTCTATAATCCAGTAATTCTGCTCACAGATATCACAACAGAAATGCATACTTAGTTTACCAAAGACACATATGATCATGCAGGCATTTTGAGTTGTAGCTCCAAACTAGAAACAACTCAAATGTCCATCAGCAGGAGAACGTAGCGAATTGAAATATATGTACGTAATGGAATAGTATACAGCAGTGAAAAAATAAACACATAACTTGGATGAAAATCTGAAACGTAACATTGAATAAAAGAGGCCAGACATAAATGATTACATTAATGGATTAAATTATTGGATCCATTTACATAAAGTTCAAAACCAGGCAAAACTAATCAAGATGTTAGAAATCAGAAAAATGCTTCCCCATTTGGTTATGATCAGTAGGAGGAACAAAATAACTTTTAGGGCCTGACATTGTTCTATTTCATGATCTGAGGGCTTACCCCATGGGTTTCTTCACTTTGTCACAGTCCATTGAATTATACACTTATGATTTATGCACTTTCATACGTCATTTAAAAGTTGACATAAACATAAAAGGCTGGAGAATCATCACATTCTCCAACTTGACTACAATTTCCCAGTCATTTTTAATCAGTGCTGCCAGAAATGTATGTAGAAGGAAGGGCAGATTTGGGAATACCTGGTCATTTACCCTGCTAACTCCAGTTCTGACCTTGGCGAATCCTGTTATGTGTATAAGCATGATTTAAACATTCATGAGGATGATGGCTATATTTTATACTATGACATACGTTGTCATTTGTAATACAGGGTCTTCCTCTCTAGATATACCAATAGTACATTGCTTGCACTCTTATCCAGTGCTTCCTTTGTTCTGCTTTGTGGAACAGTTAGTTGGCTGTGCAACTGCCTTCTTTCAACAAAACTGTAGTCTTCTTGAGTGCAGAAGACACTGTATTTTCTTTCCTATTTTTTCTCTGTTTTCAGCACAGAAACTTACGCATAATGGGATCAAATCTCAATTAATGCTTGTTTCATTTTGGGGGCAGGGAGTGCTTACATTTTATTGCTCACTTATTTGTGTATTTTAATTGAAAGTGAATGGGAGGTTTGAACTCTCCTCATTCTTCTTCAAAAATATATACTGTACACCTTGGGAGGAGGCATGAGGAAGGGTTACTGGGAGTGCTGATCATATCCTAGTTTTGATCAGATGGTAGTTATACAAGTCTGCTCACTTCTATAATTCATCAATCAGTGCACTTATTATTTGTGTACTTTTCTTTATCTATTGTATGTTGATTAAAATGTAATCTATATATAATATATAGTTCTAGTTTGATAAGACACTATATGATGAGAGTTAGTGGAAATAGTCACACTCACATATACTTATAGGAGGGTAAATTTATATAATCTTGGGAGAAAATTTGGCCAAATTATCAAAATGAAAAGGCATTTACCCTTCATCTGAGCAATGGATAGTCTAGAAATGTACCCTACAGTCTATTATAAAATGTGCAAACTGTTATATATTCAAGATCATTCACTGCATTATTTGTCTATAATAATAAAATTGGAAACAACAGAAAAAAGAATAAATAAATTGTATATCACACAATAGAATATTATTCAGCAGTTAGAAAGAGGGAGGCAGATCTATATCCACTGATTTGGAAGGATCTTCAGGTTAAAAAGCATGTACAAGATGCTCCTGTTTGTGTTAACTATATGTATATATTTGCTTGTATCTTCCTGGAATATCTCTAGGACAGATAAGAAACTTATAACAGTGGGTGCTTCTGAGAGAAGGGAGTAAAACTCATTTTTCACTATACACTTTGCCTGGTGCACATCTCAAATTTTATATGTACATATCACCTATTCAAAAAAAAAAATCTAAAGCTAATTCTTTGCTGCTGTCTTTTTCTCACTTTTATTCAGGGACTTTCTAAACATTCTATAGTTGGTAAGTTTGCCTTTACTTTCCTCTAAGAACCTCCAAACCTATTCCAAAGGTCAGACTCTTCTTCCATGATATTGAGCAAAGCAGGTAGGTCACTCTTCTGTTGGTGACCTTATTAATCGAGTTTAGACCTCTAGTGAATTTGAACAGATTTTTAAAAATGAAACATTCAAAGCCTCTTTGCCCTCTTTAGTTCCTCTCCTCCCAGAAAGTAGGATGAGAAAGGCAAGTGTTCCATTTGTCTTTTTTCAGATTTACAAGTGCCATAAACTGATTGTCAAACTGAAAGACAAGGGAACCTTTGCGGGGAGCGGTGGGGGGCGGGGGGAAGTAGGGGGAGGTGGCGATGTGATTTGACTAGCAAAGGAAATGAATAGTTCAGTCTAATGTGTGCCTTAAATTTGTAACAAGTAGACCTCATGAAGTAAGGTCTTATTTCAATGGCCTGAAGATCCAGAGCTTTTGAAGCACTCAAAAGTAAAAATTAACAATATAATCGGAGGTAATCTTGCAAGGAAGAAACAAGAGGGGTCTCTGAAGACACCAAGACAGCTTCCAAATCACCTGTGGCCATGCCATCTACAAAAGATGGGAGGCCCAGGGTCAGGTTTGAGGAGCTGGTATGAGTACATGCCAAAGTCATCAGCAAGAAGGCTGAAACTTGGGCTTGGAAAATCTGCAATGGAAAATTTGTACAGGTCTTCTAAAAAACACATCCAGAGCAAAAATGGCTTGGATTAGATGGTGCTATTTTATCACATAATAAATAGGAGGCAAACCTAGAATTTAGTGATGATCTCACCCAGCCCCTATATTTTATCAAGATATACTATAAGCAGGGCCTAAGATTAAACACCCAGATGTCCTGTTTCTCAGTCTGCTGTTGTGTCTGCTCTCCACCTGTCTCCTTAAAGCCTGGGCTCTGGAACCAGACTACCTGGATCTAACCAAAAGTCTGTCTCTTGAGAGCTGCATGACCTTGAGCAAGTTATTTAACCTTACTATGCTTCAGTTTCTCATTTGTTAATAGAGATGATACTAATAACAGTACCTACCTGGTATGGTGTTTATTGGGATTATAAAGCACTTCAAACAGCGTCTGGTATGTAGTCAGTGTTATATATATGCTAGCCATAATTTTAATGGTTATTATTACTTCTAATTTCTATTTCAGGAGGAATCATTTTTAAGTAGGAAAGATCAGAACCAGCATGGGAGGTATCTTTATGCTAACACTTGCTTGGTTGTGGGTGCCACCTTAGGTCTGATATAAGAAGTCAGTTTTTCATGAATAGAGTTTCCAACTTCTGGGCTGGTGGAGTTCAAGCCCAAGCACATGACCTGCCAAGGATACTCAAAATAGAGTTCTGCGTAGGGTGGAGGTAGGACCTAGATGACTTCTATGGAGCTCTGATGATCCTTAGGGTCTGTGATTCTGCTACCTTTGAGACTAGCAGCCCTGGCTTCCAGGCGTGGCTTTGTTATTACCATGGAAATGAAAAGCGCGTCTCTCCAGATCTGTGTAAAAAGACAAGCTCTGGTGTCACAGCTAAGACTTCCAAATACTCAAGTTGGAATGGATTTTGAATTTATTTATGGACAGTTGCACCCCTGGGAACGCCAACATAAGGGAACAATATTCTCAGCTTTGCTCACAAACAAGATTAGGCTCATTCTAAACCCTTTCACCAGGGGACACTTCATTCTGGGGAGATACATCAGTCAACATTGTTCCCTCTGGTCCTCCCAAACCTAGGTTAACAATGAGGGGCCAGGACACCCACCCAGCCTCAGCAGCTCGGCAAGTTGGGGCAGGCTAGCGCGTTCCTCCCAGCCAGCGACCACTGGCTCCCTCTGCGGGGCACTTCTTAGAGCCTTTGATTTTCCCCCAGGAACTGGCGAGGCTGCGTTTCCCTCTTGGCTTATTCCCTTTTGGTTTATTTATTATATCTGCTTTCTCGTCCCCCTGGCTTGGAGCTCAGCACACCACTGTGCAACGCGATCTGAATCTGGGGTTTCTCCTCTCGTAAGGAAACCTGGCAAAAGGTTCAATGGTTACCGAGTCCTCTGGCAGCAAATCCAGAGAAGAAGGGGCCTTTACTGGCCGGGCCGGGACCCCCGATCCCCTGATGGGTGGCCCCAGTAGCCCCAGGCCCGGAGGCGGGCGCTCCTTCCCAGCCGGGTCTTCTTTGTCCGCCAGGGGGCTCGAGCTCTCGTCCCTTTCCCCGACGCCAGGCTTAACCTGGAGTTTCATCTCCTCCCCTGGAGAGTCTCACATTGCCTTCCTCCGCCGCGAGGGAACCCCACTCCCCCGCTCCGGGTCTTAATCTCTACCCGGGGTTTCCGTCTGCGTGGCCGGGCTTCAGCTCTCCATCTGCGCGTCTCAAATCTCATTTATCTTCTTAGCGCCCGGACCCCGCCGGCCCCGCCCCCTCTTCCTCAGTCCTTCCCCCACTTGCAAATTACAAACCCTCTGCTCCCCCCTCCCATTTTCCCGAGTGTTCTGGACGGAACGTAGTAACCTTTGGAGGTATTGGGGAAAGTCCCTAGGCTGGGCGGAGGCGACCTAGGGGGGCTCGGCAGGAAGAAGGTCTAACCAGAGGAGGGAGAGGCGCCGGGAGATTTCAGGGTCAGGACCACGGCCGGGGGTCCTGCACTAGCAATCACCTAACTCCTGCCCCGCGTCTCTAGTGGTTGAACTTGGCCTCTCTTAGTCCCCCAATCTAGGTCACCAGCCGGAAAGCGCTGAGCTGGGGGTCGTTAGAGGGGGTGATGGGCGGACTGTATGCCCCAGAGGTGGTCGAAGAGTGAATAGTCTCAGGGCCTGCCCCTCTCGCTCCCACCCGATTGTAATTCCACCCCCGGGCGGGTCGAGCCTCCCTCTACCGCCAGCCGGTCCCTCCCCGTCGGCCTCCTTCACCGCCCCCGCTCGCCCCCGCCCCCCGGAAAAGCCCTGCCGCTGGCCGCCGGCTTCACTCCCGCACGCCGACCTCCCGGCTGCTGTCCTGCCTCCTTGGACTCCTCCGTGGTTGCTGGTCCAGGTTCCTCAGCCACCGACCTCCTCACGCCAGCCAGGGGACCCGCGGGGCCGGCGTCCTCCACGTCCCTCAGGAGACGCCTCGTGCGCCCGGGACTTGGTTGAAACTTTGCAGGAGCCCGCGGGGAAATGGATTTAATCCGAGGCATCTTGCTCCGGCTCTTGCTCTTGGCTTCCAACCTCTGTGTCGCTGTGTCGCTCGGAGCAGCTGTCCGAAAACCAGGTAATGCGCTCAGCGCGCCGGGGGCCACCACGCCCCGAGCGCCAGGGTCGCGGTCCCTGGCGAGGACAAAAAGCGGGCAACGCACTGCCTCTCTCTCCCCAGACCAGCGTCAGTTTAACTGGGTTCATCTCTGCCCAGAGCTGAGAAAAGACGCGAGTCCCCTACCCCCTCTCCCTGGAGGCCAGGCAGTTCCAGGGATATTTGTTTGTTAAAAGAAAGATCTATTTTCCAGGCAAAGTAGAGGTGGAGGGCTCTGTATTTGATCACGGAGAGCTAAGAGCTGGGGCAGCGATCATGCTGTCTCAATTATAGAGGATTGCAACTGTGCAAACAGCTCCTCCTGTGTCTCCAAACATCTTATTGAATTCATATTGTCTAGAGCCCAGCCATTTCCTGTTAAGTGTCTGAAGATTTGTCTCGAGTCCTCTGTGTCCATCTCCGGTCCTGCCCACGCACTATGTAGGGATATGGCCTCTAATGTTAGGATTCTCTTGGCCGTCTTCTCAGGAAGGAGAGCCCAATGGGTTAATTTTGTGTTGTTGTGAACCCCTGCCTTTGCTCTGAGATTTAAACAAAAATGTGTGCGTTGTAGGCTATTAGAATTGGAGAGAACTTGAAACACAATAACTTGCATTTCCTCTAGTTACACCAGTAAAAAGTCTTTTTTTGTCTGCTTTGAATTGGCCTATGTTGTGAGATTATTCAAAATAGAACATTCTAAACAATAAAGTTCTAACCATTGTTTTTCAAATAACGATTTTTATTCTTTGCTGACACTATATTTAGAATTCTGAAAAATCTGTTTTTTCTTAGTTTACTTTGTAAGCAAGTAAACTATACTTTGTCTTATGGGATTAATTATATTTCATGAACAATGGAAAACAATATAACTTTCTTTGAATGCAGCCTGCAAAACTTTGCAGAAAGTGCAGTTTGTCTTCACAATTAATGTTTCTATAAGAAAGAGACAAACCAGGGAAAATTTATCATAGGGCAAGGAAAGTAATCTTGGCAGATTCCCATATGGCTGCTAAAATATTTTCGCTGTTCAAGGATCTCTCCATTTGGAAATCTGACCTGTTGCCTTCCAGCTCTGGGAGGCACCCTCAATCTTAAGGCTATGCCTATAATCACCTGCACCTTGCTACCTACCTTGAAATTTAGACATTGTTGTAATCTGCAGCACACTTAAAATATGAGCTATTCTATTTTTCTTTTTCGGCTGTTCAGTTCATTTTGAAGATAATAGCAGCAGTCCAAGGTAATATTATATTAAATAGTTTCTTACATGAACTCGTACATACATCACCCAGGATTTCTATGAAGGGCTTCTTTCAAACTTTCCTCTGTAAGATAACTACATCATGATCAATTGCATTCTGAGGGTTTATTCACATAGAACCATTCAGTCATAATTTCGAACAATGCATAGTTATATCTGTAGTTCTTAAACATGAACAGTGTATACGATGTTCTTTTAAGGATAGGTTTCAATCTATTTAAGCATAATGTTTTACAGAGCATTTCACAAAAGCCTGCTGTATATAACTCTCATATGATTCGCCATATTTTCTTTCTTATTTTTTGTAGTTCCTCTCCTAAAAGTATTTTCTATCTGGTTCATCCAGAGTCATTCTGATATTCATGCCGTGAATATGCCATGTTGGCCCCTTTGGTTTTGCTTGAAGCATGGATGGAGTTTTGATAGTGGAAACTACCTTTTAAATATGTTGGCATATTAAATACATCAAATTTGAGGTGGAAGGAGTTTTTGGACTATGTTCAGCTTAGAAGAATTTTTCATTACTTTATAATTTTAACCAGACACTGGCTTTCAGGTTGGAAAGCTGCTCAGATTAAAATGACAGCTACCTTATAAACTTCAGAAAAAATTTCCTCCTAGGTTCATTTACATCCTTTGGAAAGGCCAGTTTTTGATCTGGAAAATTGGTCCAGATTAAAAACTGTATGTGCCTCTCTTGGCTCTCATGTGAACAGCAACCAGCTAATTTATAATCTTCCCCAGACACCAGCAAGATCCTGCTAGTATCCATGTGGGAGAGTCTTTGTACCTTTTTCCTTGATAGAAATTGGTTTGTGTGAAATACTTTGAAGGTAGGGTGGCTACCATGTAAGCAGATGAGAACAGTCCTGTTTTATTTGGATGACCCTGTCTGTCTCCTTAAACTCCTAAATCTACTTTGAGAAATACAGCTTTGTTGGAGAAGTCTTGGATCCAAATCAACCTGAAAATTCCCCATACCCACCTACCTCTGGTGAGAAAAAAACCAAGTAGCAGCTTCAATTGTGAGTCTAATTTGGGTCTGACGTGGGCACCTTCTCTCCACCCAAGACAGCTCATCTTGTGTCACTAAGGATTAATAAAGAAACCTCTGCATTTTCATGTTAAGTCAAATTAAGTAATAATAACTAACACTAAGTGCTTGCTACACTGTTCTAAGAACTTGACACATACTGATTTATTTGATCAATCCAACAGCTCTGTGAGATGGGTACTATTATTAACCCTGTTTAGCTGCTGAGGAAATTGTGGTTTAGAGAGATTAAATATCTCACCCAGGGTCACACGAGCAGTGAGCAGGGAAACAGAAATCCAGGCTCTGATGTTTAGGACCAGCAATGGAGTCCTGAGCAACCCGTTAGCAGAGTTATGCAGCCTGTCGTGGAGGGCATCTGCCTCCTGGCTGGACAGGGGAGCTCCATGGGACAGAGCCAGGTATAGGGTGTTTGCCCTACTGCTGTGTGTGGGTAGCCTGTTAAATGCTGTCAAACATTTGTACATGGGATTATGCCCAGGCCTCCAGAGATAACAGAGTATGGATGATACCAATGTAGAGTTCTGGAAGCTACTGTCTACTGACCTCATCCATAAGAATCAGGGGATGTAACCTTACAGGGTAAAGATAAACCATGCTTTCTCTTTTTGAACTCCTGGCGGGGCTAACGTTTCCGAGGGGCTAGAAGGTCCATTAGAGTATCTGGAGGTCGAAAAAGGGGCATCTGAAGATGGGCAGTGTATAGAACACTGTCATTTCCCCAAGTCTTTATGACACGGAAACATCATTTGTTGGATAGCCTCTTTTCCTTTATAGATTACAAGTTAGGATCATCAACCGGGAAGGAAGTAAAAAGCTTTTGCTTCACAATTGGGCTGAGTGTGATTAAGGGTCTCACCGAAGTAACAGCAGAAGCTGAGCTGGGACTAGTACCAGACTCTCTTGAGCAGCCTCTGGCACTTCTCCCTCACCCTGAGTCTCACCAGGAAGTGCAGGAAGGACTGTTGTGCTTCTGACGTGGGGCAATAAGAAGGGAAAGGGAAATCCAGACACATGCGCTGGAACCATCACGCATCAAGCCACATCTGTTCCTTTAGGCAGATTGGTAACTCAGAGTGTTACCAATAAACTCTCTGAGCTGGAGCACCTGCATGAAGGTCTTGTCTGCTTTCCCGCCTTTCTCGTGTGCCTGAGGTCCCAGAGTTAGTGAGGCAAGGTCAGGTTAGAGTTAGAATTCAAGGTTTTCCCTGGAGGACCTGGGACTCCACAGTCATCCTTAGGGAGATGCATGTTTTTAATCTTTTCCTTTACATTTCCTCAGCATTTCTCTCCCTATAAAATGGGACTAAAATGAAGATCCAAGGCAACTCAGGAAAAACAAAAGCCTGGCAGAGCAGAGCTCAGAGCTAGCTCCTTGATAATGTACCTAGTTGGTTGATAATAGAGGAATACATGTGCCTCTAGGGAGTTTCTGCTGCTGCTGGTGTGAGGCTGAATGGCTAAGGGGTCAGGGGTCAGGATCATCCTGTTCTACTTCCCTCACACCACCCTGAATAACCTGGTATTCATAAGATACTGGATATGTCCTCAGTAATTGCTGTCATCCAAGCCCTCTTCCCAAAGCATGTAATCTGCGGGGCTCATCTCTTCTGGATGTCCCTCCTCCTCCCTTTTTGACCAACTGTACTTCACCACAAGGGTGATCCAGATTGTCTTGCTTCTTGGGGGAAAACTGGAGCTCGCAAAGGTCACCAGGGATATATATTTCCAGCACCCAGCTATTAGTGCCCCATGTAGTTCAGCCACTATAGCAGAAATACCTTCCTCTGATTCTTCATTCCATCAGCCTTCCTCCCCTCTTATTTGTTTTCTCATTATATCTAATCTCTATAAAGAAGGACCCTCTGTCTCTGTCACTGTGTCTGTCTCTATCTGTATCTGTCTGTCTCTGACTCTCTGTCTCTCTGTCTCTCCTGTCTCTCCTCTTCTCTCTTTTCCTCCCTTTTTCCCTCCCTCTCCCTCTACCCCTCTCTCCTTTGGTCTCTATGAGGTAAAGGGACAGAGAGGTTAAGGTCAGGGGTAAATGTAGTACAACATGAGGCAGTACTTGTTTCTCAGAATTCTTTCTCATGAAAGTGACTTGGCCAGAAAAGAACTGAGTGGTTTTTTGTTTTTGTTTCTAACTCCAAGCCCACGACTTTAATAACCTTAAATTCTTTAGGGAGTAGTTGTCCCTCTGTTCATGGGTTTCGATAGCTCAAAAGTGGTCCAGTGACCCAGAGCTAGATTTCTGGAAGACAGGGACTTAAGCATCTGAAGCTGAAGTGGGACCTGGGCTTCCACAGGATTATCCTGTGGATATTCTGTATTCTCCTGTCTCACCCACTTGCAAGCAGGACTGAAGTTTCTCCCAAATGACTAAATGAATGGCGTGATGTCTTGATAACAAGAGAAGATCATTTGAGCTGGTCAAGAACCCTGTCGCTTGTTTTAGTCACAGCATGTCAAACTGCAGGTACCGGAAGTACACCAGCTATCTCAGGGACAGAAAAAGGAAAAAGGGGAAGAAATAGATACTATAGAGTCGAAATAGCAGTTTGTAAGGGAAAGCCCCCAAACCCATCTTTGATTCCATTGGTTGTGGACCTCCATTTTGAAAAAGGACCCCAGAGTGTGGCTTCAGCTTCGCGAATGAGCTGGAAG